ATGAATGTTATAAAATGGCATTTTAGAAAAATACCGGTTAATGATAATTTCCGCATCATTTTGACCAAGTGCCAAATTTGCTTTATTTATTTTGTGACGCAATTATGTGCCAATTTAACGCTTAGTGTTTTTTTTCTTTTTTTTCTTTGGGGAGGCAACTCTTTAGTGCATCCCATTCCGCTGGCCGAATTTTACGGCAAAAAAAAAAAAAAAAAAAAAAAATATTGCGAATATATATATATATATACGTACGCGCCGAACCCAATACAGTCCTGAAGCAGATTTTAACGAAGGAACAAATTTGTTTTCTCCCCATTTTGTGGAACACGCGGACGAGAAAGTAGAAAAACGCGCAATTTGCAAAGTATTGCCAAATGAACGCCAACGACGGAGAGGAGACGCAACTGGATAATGCATCCCCCAGCAAAAATGACAAATCGAATAAACCCAAAGTAAGCACAAACTGCGCGCCGTACAAAACTCTGTATACCTTTAAAGTGGCAGCAGTTCGAAAAAAATTGCACAAAATGTTTAATCAGCCACTGCGCAAAAATGCATTCCAACTTAAGTGATACCACATTTTTGTACTAATCCCATCATCCCGCTTTGCCGCCCCAACGGAACCGCACGACGGTCAAAGTTGTTTGCGTTCAGACGCCAGTGAAACTCAGTGTTATGGCGTCTTATCTGGTACGTACGTCTACACAAAAGTGCATAGCTTAACGCTTTTTTCATTTTTTTTTTACCTCGCCGCGCAGCCCCATTTACGGAAGGCAGCCGGGGTTGTATGGAAGGACCCATCATTGGATGATTGGCCAGAAAATGACTTTCGAATTTTTTGCGGAAATTTGGGAAACGAGGTCACTACGGACATTTTGGCGAACGCATTTAGAAAGTACAAATCGTTTAACATGGCAAAGGTGGGTAATATTCCAAGGTGTCACGTGTGTGCGCTTTCCAACACATGTACTTTTTACAATTAGCCCACTTATTTCGCACCCCCCAAGTGAATAAGAGTTCACTTCTGCAATGCTGTATTCCGGTGCGTTGAAGTAGACTTGAAGAAGCCACATTGCATGATGAAACAACGCCCCCTTTTAATTCTCTACAGGTAATTCGCGAGAAAAGGAACAACAAAACGAAGGGCTACGGTTTTGTGTCCCTCTCGAACCCCCAAGACATGCTGGATGCATTGAAAAACATGAACAATAAATTTATAGGGAATAGACCAATCATAGTTAAAAGGAGTAAGTGGAAAGACAGAGAAGTGGACTCCAAAAAAAATAAAAACTTTGATAGCTTCGTCCAGAATACCTATGTCCCATCCAAGAAATTTAGGAAATTCAAAAAAACCGTCCGAAGTGATAATAAAGGTTAGAGCAAAAAAAAAGAAAAAAGACAGCCCCCATTTGGGTCCATTTTTCCTACTTTGCCATTTCAACGTTGTAACGGTTTCCATTTACCACTAAAGTGGTGTGCCACGTGAACTGTGTTGTGCATATATATAGGTGGACACTCTTCTTTTTCCCCCCCTCTCTTTTTAGAAGTTCATGACAAATTGATAAACAAAAACGGAGGGAACTACTGACATGGAAAATTGGTTACTCTGCGGATGAAGAAAATGTTTCCCCATTTATCTTAGGGAGCATGCCCCCTTTGGCGCATTATCACGTTTTCAATTTTGCCGACATGTGGAGGCCCCCCCTTGGTCTCGTTTCGAAGTTTCCTTTGGAACATTTCCCCCTCATAATCTTTTTTTTTTTTTTTGTTCGTTGTAATTTTAATTAATTTTTGTGACCTCTTTAACAACAATTTGGCAGCCAATTAGCAACTTTTTAGCAACCACGTGACAACCATTTTTGGACCCCTGTTGTCAACTTTTTTTTTTCCGAATTTTTTAAAAAAGGGGAAAATAAAACTACGAAAAGATTTTTAACCATTAATATGTTTTTGATTCGTGCCGCTTCTTTACATTTTCAACGTCTTTATTTGGATAGCCTCCTGGGGGGAGGGGGGAACACCAGGAGAGTAAGAGTTTCCACCTCACCCTTCGAAAATGTCCAGCGTCTCCGCACATATGTAACGCAGGGGTACATACACACTTATCTGCATTTCCTGCGTTACTCCCCCATTTTAGGGCTAAAAATAAACTCCCTGCTTTAGCCCGCTGCCCTTAATGAAATTTCCCCTTCCCCAGGGTACCTTTTAAAGAGTTGTTTTTTCCCCTCCACACTTTCGGCATTTTAAGGACAATATCGACGCAGCAGATGTGCGTCGTAGGTATACACTTATACGTAGGTACGTACATCTCTGTGCTCTGCTTACATATGCAGTGCTATGGTAGTTTTCTTTCCCTCGCGCATCAACCGTTTGGCCCCTTCATTTTATCATTTAATAATGACGCGAAAAAGGGACGACAACGGAAAGGTGCAAAAAAGTAAATACCAAACATTCATCAATTTGCAAACATTTTATGCCACACGGGGTTCATCGCTTCGATAAAATTGCAAAAAGGTAAATGGGTGTTCAATACGATTATGTACCAATCTGTGAAACGCTTCTCCTTTTGGCCAGTTTTTTTTCTACGAAAGTATAGAAAAAGGTAAAAATTGCCTTTCCCCACGGGGATAATATTAGTGCCCCTTTTCCCCACCGCATGTGAAACACCCGCCCGAACATATATTTATACTTTTTTGAAAAAATATAAATAAACCTGCGCTCCTCTGTTCCGGATGTGCTGTGCTTATGACAAAATATCTTGTGAATTTATTTTTCTTCTTTCAAACAAGGCATTCGAGCAAGTACTCTTCCCTATGCTGCATTCTGCGGAGTAGGTACACTGATAAGTGATAAGGGATAACAAAACAGTTCAAATTTGGCTAGGCGGAAGAGGCAATATTTATGGTAGCTTCAGATGTGAGGAGATAATTTTCTCTGCGTGTGCGTGAAAAGTTCCGGGGCGCGCATGCCAGCAGACCCATCAATCTGCCTGCCAAGGAAGTTGTCAAAGTACATGACAGGGAACCTGCCGAGGAAACTCCTAACATACATGCCAAGGAACCTGCCAAGGAAACTGCTAACGTACATGCCAAGGAACCTAGTAACGGACCTATCGGCTGCGCTCCCACCCACCTGCCATGTGCACCCCCGCATGACCGAACGAAGCAGCCAGGATGAACGCAACCAGGTTTCTTTTAAGCAGCCAAAAAGTATTAAAAAGAAATGTAGAGTTTAAGGAAATATTCACCCCGAGATGGTTCCTAGAATCGCCCAACTACAGCCGTATGCCCCTATGGAGAAGATTTTTTGAAGGCCAATACACAAATGGGTCCTTCTTATTTTTTGGTAATGCCTGGACATCCATGTTTGCGTTCGCCTTCATGTTATGGTTCTCAAGAATATTCGACCCACCCCCCTTAGAGAGAGTTGACAAGTATTGGCTAAACTCACCAAAGTTCAGAATTTTATCTGCCTTTTACAATGAAGGAAAAAGGCCAGGGGTGAAAATATCTTTGATGACATACGAAGCCAGGTACTTCTACAGGGGCATAGATCACCCCTTTACCATTAACGAGATCAAAGATTTGTGGTTTAAATTGAGGGAAAATTATATAATTGAAAGCATCCCGGCGATTCAATACCCGCACGTTTTTAGGCAGTACAACAATGTATCCACTCCTGCAGATTTGCATGTACATCTTCACTGAGGACATTTGTCTCTCTGTGTTATTGTGGGATACATCACCTCTGTGTGTGTATACGGCGGGATGACCGTTTGCTTCTCCATGCTGTTCACGAAGCATGGTGGAGAAGGGCGTAACAGAGTTCAGGCTTCACCCCAAGAGCTGTGATTTGTAATGTGCCTTCTATACCATTTTGAAGACAGTCCCACGTGTAGTAGGTGGACCAGTGCGTATCCTATTAGGAGGGGCCCGCCCGTCATTCGCGCAGCCATTTGAAAACCATTCGGGGGAGACCGAATCGGTAACCCTTTGTATCCGGCGCACCCCGTTTAGACCTTTTACGCACGGGCGAGTTTTGAGCAGCTAAATGTGTTCATTCATTCGTTCACTCGTTGCTTGGTTATTTATTTATTTTTTCTCTCGGAGAACCCGAAACAGTCATAACTTCTTCGCTTTTACGAAACGCGCTTCATGCGAGACCATTTCTGCGCCAGCGAAGTCGTCGCGTTAAGGCGTTTTCGTATCTTCACACTGCTGCGAGGACCAGCGCGTCTACGCCGCTTTGCATTCGCCAAAATGGGATAGCGTCGCCCCATAAATACAGCACAACCCCATATGGGTATCCTCGCAAAAGGGAAACGTGGCGGGCTTCCGCTTCATGAAGGGAACAAACAGGGTCCGCAAATGCTTCGAGGGGACCGCAACAACGGGGTGTCCATCCCTGCATATACGCATGCCGCGTGCGCTGATGCAGAAAGAACGCCGCTATACCACACAGTGCACTCCGCACAAAATCGTACATTAGATCGAAAATGTGTGCAACGGTAAATTCAGAAAATGGCCGCAAACTGGGCGTAAACCGACGCGATGGTGAAAAACCATATCTTAATTTAAAAACACTAAATCTGTGACCCGTCGAAATGGGGAGAAAATTCAGCAGAACAAAAACATACGTGATGAATGGACACATAAATACAGCCAGACAAGGACAACAGGCCCCCAAAGTAGAAATTTTTCCACAAAATGAAAAAGACAAATGCAGCAGGTAAATTTTTTCCCAAATCCAGGGAAGGAAAAAATTAAAATAACGCTTAATTAAATTATGGGACGAAGGAACGCTAATTTTGAAGGAGATGGAAATTGAAAAAAGGACAAGTGCGCCTCAACAAAAACGCGCCTGACAAAAACACACACAGCGCAGTCGTATCCGCGCAGGATAAGCACAGAAAAAACGAAAAAAGGGGAACGAGAAAGTGGACATACACCTTCGCGCGAAGACAAGGATCATATGCCGCACAGTTGAGCAAACTAGTGTCTTTACCGATGCAGGCTGCCAACCCCGGCTGGAGCTACGCGGAGCACAAAGACGTTGCCTCTCCGTCTGTCCAAGCGGCTGACACGCTCGTGCGCACGTATATTCGATATCAGTACCTCCCGTATGTCATCGATAATTTCTCTTTTTACCTGATAAAAAGAATGCTTTAAAAAATCCACATTCGTTTCAACGAAAGTTGTGTCAATCACATCCATGTCTAGCCAAGCATATTTATCAAAGGAAATATAAACAGTGTCTGTTTTTTTACACGTCAGAGCGGAGGTTTTAGACACCTTTTCTTTCATTTTCATATTATTAGCAGTATTAATAGAGTTTTGATGAAAATAAATGTTCTCCTTCTTATTTTTGAATAACCATTTTCTTTTAATCTTTTTAAAGGCCTTAGATATTTTAAACCTCCTTTTGGATGTAAAGGCCCTTAAACTGGAGTCACTAAACTCCACCGTTTTGAGAAAATTTTCATTCAGGTAATTCGGCGCTAGGTCTTCAGAAATACACGAGGCACCTTCATCATAGTCATATGTGGATGTCTTACGAATGGTTTTACTGACGTGCTGGTCATTCCCACTGGTGTTTGCATTAGTATTGGTAGATTTATTTTGTGCCTGACTTTCTTCTTCTCTTTCATTTTCTTTCGCTTTCTCGTATTGCCCATCACCCCTGTCAAACGGCTCCTCGATTGCCTGCCTCTGCTTCAACTTCATTTTTTCCTGCACATACGACGAACTTGGGAACAAAACGCTATCACACATTTTGTACTTGTCCTCGTAATTGCCCGTGAGGAAATTACTGCGGTCTAAATTTAAATTCATGTAATCTTCGCAATTGTATATTTTGTACAGGGGTAACTTCAGCTTGAAAATCCTCTTTCCCAGGCACTTTTCTCGATTCCATGTCTCAGAGTAGGTCAGTGCCTGATCCCTCGTGTCTCCGTACATTACGATGTGGTTGCAGTGGCTCCTCAGAACGAAAAAGTCCTTTTCTAGGAACTTGTTCAGCGGGTAATCTGGGTTCAATAAAATAACCGTTTTGACTATGATTTGCTTGTTCTTTTTTTTTTTCCGTTTCTTGCCTGGCGAGCGTCCGATCGCACTGGCCCCCACGCGGCTCTTCCCATTTCCGTCACCGCCGCTAATGCCGCTAATGACGTTAACACCGCTAATATCGCTAAGATCGCCAATATCGCTAATACCGCTAACATCGCTAACGTCGCTAACATCGCTCACATCGCTAATACCGCTCACATGGCTGATCTTGCTAACATGGTCGTTACCCGCAGTGCGATTCGCCCCAGTCGCAGCGGGATCCCCCTTCTTCCCCGCCGACTTCTCATTCTTCAGTACGTTATAAAACAGGTTATCCTCGACGCAGCTAGCGAACCCGTTAAAAAAGAGCCTGGAACCACACGAGTGACTTATCAGATGCACATTCTTAATGCCCGAGTTTATAATCTCCTGTATAAATGTTTTGAAAGAATTTCCCAAAACTGCCATCTCGGATCTTTTCTTCGCGACGGGGTAGGACAGAGCCGAAAACGCACCCCACATGTAGCCTTCCCAGTGAAAAACAAACGGTTGGATATAGGACGGTAGCTTCGAAAAAGAAACCAAGTGAGCCAACTGAGAACATCCATGATGTAACTTCACATTGTATCCATGTATATATATAACAATTTCGTCTGGCATAAAATTCAAATTCTGTTTTAAAGATAATGATTGCCAACCTTCCACAATAATCTTTTCCTTGTGTTGATGGCGATAATTTTCCCATTCATCTTCCTCCGCGAACACCTGCGCAATGGTTTTATTCCTCTTCATATTATAACTTGACAAATTGCCACCATTCAAACTGCCAAAGGATTCATTGATACTTTTCACGGTATCCCCCAAGGTGCTTATTATTTGTGTGTTCTTACTGCTATTATTGTACTTGGATCGAATGAACTTAGCGATTTTTTTGTTATTGGAAGTTATATAGATAGGACCCTTTCGGTACGATCTGGTGTCCTTTTTTACAAATCCTTTTATCTTTGAATTTTTCATTCTGTGGACACTTACTTTTTTCATTGTCTTCTTGTAAATCTCTTTGTTTCCTTTATTCACATTTGAATAACTCCTTTTCGATTTTTTATTCTTTCTTCTTTTATTCGTATACATTTTCTTCTTGCTATTTTCTATGTCTTCACTGGAATTATTCTTCACATTTTTGTTTCTTGAATTCCTGGCTATTCCGGATTTTATAAAAGATTTAAAAACGTCGGAAATGAATATCCCTTTCTTTTCTCCAAAATTTGATGTTCCACTTGATGTATCCTTTGGGTTAACTGTTTTTTCTTTCCATTTCAGTTTGTCACTTTTTCTTTCATTCAGGGTGCCCTTACTTTGGTTTGTGTCCGATTCGAACTTCTTCTCCTGCTCATTCGGTAGGGTAACTTTGTTTTTGTTGTTCTTCTTTTTTTCTCCTTCTCCTTGGTCTTTCGGGTATATCCCGTCAGATTCGCTCACCTGCACGTTATTGGCTTCATTTACCGTAGCGCACAAAGGAGTGTCCTTTCCTACATCTGGTTTGTTTTGTCGCTTCTCAGTTGGCCGCCTCTCACTTGGTCGCCTCTCACTTGGTCGCCCCTCACTTGATTGCCTCACCCTACGCAACTTTTCCCCCTTTTCATTGCTCCCCCCCTTTTGCAGCCCCACGGCGTGGTGCTCCCTAAACTTCGCACGCAAGACGTTGTCACAGAGTAGTTCCTTTTCTCTGCACTTGAACCCTTCGTGTTGGTTTACGCGTTCGTTTCCGGTTTCCCCTTCGCTATAAAGAGAAGGATCCTCCATGTATGCGTTCTCTTCCCCATGTGGGGCACTCCCACAGAGCGGATCCCTTCTTCGCAGCTTCTTCCTTTTCTCCTTCTTAGGTGTGCTGCTTCCCCGTGGGCAGACAACTAAACTATGGGTGCTTCGCCCCCCACTTCGGCGCCTGTCACTTCCGAAGCCGTTTATATTAACAACAAACGTGTCACCCTTTCGGCAAAAGGAGGAGTTACTTTTCGTAGCGCTATCCTCCGTGAAGAGGTTGACATGCGGAGGGACATGACATCCTCTACGGGTTGATTTTTCCACTCTACGCCTCTGCTCTCGTTCGTTTGGAAGTTCCCCTGTTTGGTCATGTCTTCTGCGGAAATGCACTTGGGGAGAGCTGCCACTGCCGATGCTACTCCCACCATCTCCGCCCATGTGGCTATTATGATATTTGCCCTTTTCGCTATAATAGTTGCTCCGATGGGGAGGAACAAAACAATGTTGACTGTTGAGAGATCGGCCGATCCGGTGTGGGCCCATTTTCGCGTCCTCATCAGGACTGGTGCTGTTCTCACTGTGATCGAAAACGTACGGCGCCTTGTGTATCTCCGTCGACTTTATCGATTTCTTCATTTTGTACAAATAAATGTCATCATTTACAGAGTCCAGCAGCTTCTCTGACAGCTTATGAGTGTAGTAAGAATGGTGACTGTCCTCCTTCAGCTCACTCGCATAGCTCTGGTTCCCAGGTGCACATACCTTCTTAATACTGTTATGAATTTTGTTTTGGTTGGAGTAAAAAAATTCTTCACCTTCTTGGCCCTTCACCTTTTCATCGTGCTTCCCCCCTCTGCTATACAGCACAGCGTTGTTTCCACTTCCGATAAAACGATATGAATAATCCCTTTTGTAAATTTTTTTCCCCTTTTTCACTTTCGGGAGGTGTACCAACTTGACGGTAATCTCATCCAGTATGGTTTTGTTCCTCCTCTTGACAGGTGCCAGGCGTTTGTAATTATGAACCTTCAAGCTCATCGTCACATGGTCAATCGAAATCATACAGTTGTTGGAAAAATACTCCGTTGTGGTGCTGCTATTAACCTTTAGCATATTAAAACACCACTTCAAATCGTAACCTAAAATGTCCTCATAATTTTCTTTTAAAATGTCCTTTACAATGATATCATACCTATTGGTTGGCAGTCTTCCATTGGCATCCTTCTCAATTTTGGGATTAAAAAAGTAGGTCAATGGAAAGTCATTGAAAAAGTGGCCACTGATGGAGCATTCTGTGCAGGAGACGCCATATCGTACATCCGACCAATCTTTTCCTACACAGGCGGCGAAGCCAACTCTTGTATTAACGAATAAAGATCCACTTCCAACTTCCTGTGATATAAAAGGACCTACTGGGTACCCATGGAACCAGAAACCTCTTAGCTTCTCTCCATAGGAATGATCTTCAATCCATTCTCCGTATCCATGTGGTCGACCATATATGTCAGTCTTCCCCTTATACCTTAGCTGGTGACTAAAAGGGGCCTCATGGATATTATCATTTGTCATTTTGAAACGCAGACTGGAAAACTTTTTATAAAAACAGTCTACAATACGATAGAAAGATCGATAAGCACAGAGACAGAAGCAACAGAAGTTATTTCCACAGATCCCTGCGAAATCGTTGTATCGACTGACCGTTATATTTAACTTATTCGTTGATATCTTCTTCTTTAAAATTCGACAGTGCTCTGTACATGGGCAGAAAAAGCCATAGATAGCTAGAAGGGGGCCGATGCAAATAATAATTTTCACTATAATTATTAGGGACAACTGAACTAGTCCATAGATTATTAAGATGTGTTCCCCTCTGGAGATTTTATCATTTTCGTCCTTCTCATAGAATATTAACAAAATGCATGCGCAGATTATGAATATGTAGGAGGCGTAAATAGGCCAGTGTAAACTCAGCCTCGTCTGGAACTTTGCAAAAATTATGACTCCGATGATTACCAATGCAGCCTCTACAAAAAATAAAAAGGACGCCTGAACTTTGAAGCTAATTGTAAGCATGCTGTTCTCATAGGACGTCTTGAAATACTTCCACGAGATGAGGATTAAACAGAAAATGGTTATAATGAAGACAATTCTTTTCGAAATTGGCTTCCTTATTCCGTTGAATCTTCTTCGAAGGCGTCTATAATCCATGTATCTTATGGTGTAGATTAACCAATCTATATTCTTCAGCTCGCTGCTCGCGTTTTTCTTCCTCCTCTGGCTTTGACTCCCAGATTCGCGGTTTATGTTATGCTCACTTTTTGCCCCTCCGAAATGGTTCGCATCACCGCAATGGTTCAGATCGACCCTGCTGTAATTCTTCCCCCTCCTCGCGAAACAACAGCAGCAGTCATTTTTCGCGTCTAGCTTGCTTCTGCTCATTTCGCTCATGTAGGAGACTTCCGTGTCTGTGTAGGCCGAGTTCTCCCTCAGGCTCTTCTTTAAGATCTCTTCCCCTTTTGTGTTGTTTTCCTCCAGTTCATTTTCATAGTCCCTGGAGTTGCACACGTCAAACTGCGCGTCGTCCATGTGACTATTCATGTCATCGTCGTACTCGTCATCCATTTCGTTCTCCACGTCGTTGTCTATTCCAAGGTCGTACTCGTAGCCCTCGGGGGTGCCCTTTCTAACTTCGCTGCTAACCTCGCTACTAAGATCGCTACTTAGGTCGCTACTAACCTGGTTGTTGTTTCCTTTGGATCGGGCCGCCGACATGATCGATGAGCCCAAGCTGCTAGCGCTTTGGCTTCTGCGCGGGTTGCCGTGATCGATTCTATCCTTTTTTTCCGTCTTTTCGACCTTCTGCACCTTTTCCGCCACTTTTCTTTTTCCCATTCGCTGGTTGTTGCTTCCCCCTTTGCCCACGTCCGCCACCCCGCTCGCCAAGACAGCTTCGCCCCTTTCAATATCATCCACCCCATGATGTTCTAACAGTACCTCATCTGTATATTTATTTTTCCCCTTTCTGTGTTTTAGGCTTTTCTCCATTTGCCACCCTAACGCCTCCTCTGTGTCGGGGTTTGTCCCTGATTTCATTTCATTACCATTAAGATTTGATAAAGTGTGTTTACTTGCTTAAAAGTTTGTTTTTTTTTTTTTCTGTTTTTTTGTTTTTGTTTTTTTTCTTAATTTTCACTCTCATTATTACATGAATATCAACCTTTTTGTTCAAATTGCGTTCGCTTTGATTCTTCTCATTTTTTTACACCCTGTTTCATGGTTAAAGAGGATTACCTTTTTTTTGGCAAAATTTTTCATCTAATGGGGGATTGTTCCTTTTCTCGTTTTGAATAAGCCCTCAAAAAAAAAAAAAGGTTATAATGTTTCTTCCCCTAATCCGCTCCTTATCTTGTTATATATAATGCTGTTTGGTATGCCAACAAGTAAAAACTATATTTGCTTTGGTTCCCTCTTTTTTTTTTTATATCACTGAACAACATTCCGAAATTGGCATATTTCGATATATCTTATTTATGGCAGGGGAAAAAGTTCTTTCTTTTTTCCTTTTTTTCTTATTTTCTTCTACTCCTTTCTTCTTCTTTTTGTTTTTTTCTTCCCCTTTTGAGAATTCTTTCCCGCCAAGCTGTAGGAAAGCAAGAAAAGAAAGTAGCAGAAAAAAAAAAAAAATTATGACTTAACCGGTAGGTAACTGTCATTACACAAAATAAGGTGAGTACTCACCTCGGAGAAGGAGGAAGGAGGAGAATTGACAACTTCGGAGGACAGTTGGAAGGATGACCGTCCTTTATGCACAATTTAGGATGACACAAGAATGTGCACGTAGGGGGTGAGGGGATGCAGCAATATGCTTTAGCATAAATATACACTTTCACATGCAACAGGTGTGTGCTGCGCGTGCATGTGTCCTCGGCTCACTCCACGCCCACCCATACGCTTTTCCTAACGAACTGTTTTGTGTTGCCCCTTGCTTTAAGTATCGCAAGAATGTTCCTTTTTTGTGTGAACATTGGGAAAAAAAAAAAAAAGACGAAACGAAACAGGCACAGTAATGTAACGGTGAATAGTAATTATTCCCTTGGTTAAAGACCTTTTTTTTTTCCTTTCTTTCTCCCTTTTCATTTTCCCCTTCTCGCACCTCAACACATTGACGCTTTTCGGTTTGAGAACATTGTCCCTTTTAATTCTACAGATTGAGTTGCTACTCCCTCGTGCAGCATATAGGGCGCGTTAAAAATTATTCCTTTTTTAACCCCTTGTTTTTTTACAATCCGCGTTAACCTAAAATTGGGGGGGAAATCCCACACCATGAGGGGATTATTTTTTGCTGCTCAATCCGATTTATCAGTTTAGGACTTTACCTAATTTAGGACATACCTCATTCTGGGCATACCTCATTTGGGACAGTACATCCTCTTTTTTTTTTTTTATTATTCCCCTCTTCACCGTGGATTCCTGTCTTTTGTTGCGAATCTCCGATTTGAGATACATTTTTTTTTCAAAGAGTTGTCGCCTTAGTGCAGTTCTGCAAAAAGGAGCGCTTCGCCAACAAAGTCGGAAAAGGCAAATGCGTTTTAACTAAGCACAGTAGCAGAAACCCCGTGTGCACAGCTGAAGCATGCAAACACACATGTATGTACGGTATGTATACATTTGGAGAGAGCCCGGCCCCGCCAATTCTCTTCTGGCGCGTGAGAAGAGCCATTTCTTCCCCCCAATTAGCGGGCAATGGAATGGACACTTTTCTTTTTCTTTTTTTTTTTTTACCTCAAAAGTAGTATGAAATCTGTTGCAGTAACCCCATCCAGTTTTTATCCAGCTTACAATTTTTGCAATCAACAAAAATGTGATGAATTCTATTCCCATAATGGTTAATCAAATCTTTAATTTTGTACTTAAGGAATACCTGATGTTTTGTGGCTTCATCCACACTGTCCACATCATTAAAGGTGTTAAACACTAACACGACACAGGAAGCTTGCAGAAATTCATCGTTCAGTAGAAGACTTATGAGTGAGTTGTTTTCTCTTAAAATTTCATCCGATATGTCCATTATGTTAATAACGTACAAAATTGCGTTCACTTTTACGTTCCGATAAATGAGTTGCCAAATGTTCCTCATCTGCAGGTGGCAGGGGGGGAAAATAAAAAGTGAGCAAATCATAAAGGCGTAACAAAAAAGGGCCAAAATAAACCACGCACTCTTTATGTTGAATACTTGGACAAAAAAAAAAAAAAAAAAAGAATCATGAGAAAAAATAAAATACACTAATGGTTACTAACTACTGGATTCCCTGACATGTCCCAAAAACCGATTCTCCCATTTATCCATTTAATCTCCTCGTAATGGTAAGATATGGTTGGTTCCATGTGCGAGGTGATGTCTGTCCATTCTTTCGCAGGTATAGCGGGGGGGAAAAAAAGAAAAAAGGTGTAAACATTTAGGTCGTTTTAATTTCTCCCTTTTTCCTATGGCTGAACGGGTAGAAGTTGGCCCGATTGCTGAACGTAATTCATTTTTTTAATCTGATCCACATGTCGCTTTCACGTGGGTATGTCCCAATAACGGAACACCACACAGCTATATACGCTACGGCAGCATCCTTTCAGCCACAAAAATGCCAAGCCGAACTCACCTGGAATGAAATTATGATACAGTAGCGTTGTTTTGCCTGAGCCGTTAAGTCCCAAAATTAAAATGTTGTACTTTTTCTCGGGCGTTTTGTTTTTCCCCTTGTCGCGGCCGTCCGTTAGGAAGGACATTTTGTTCACAGCGTTCCCCATTCTGTGTGCAAGCGGGGAAAAATAAAAAGAACACACTTAGGAACATCTATACATAAATGCATATCCTCGCTAGACGCACTAATCGCAGGGGAGCTCCTCGGCGCACATTTGTGTGCCCCTTCGAAATTGCTGAGCCCAAACTAAAAAAGGAGTTTAAATCGACTGAGCCAAAGTTTAGCATTTCACCTGTCCGTCAGGGTACCCTCTTTCAAATTTGAAAATAGTTTCAGTCTTAGAGGAAGGCCACCAAGCGGACGGCCGAACGGATGCACAGATACATCCCCCAAATTCGCCAACTTAAAATTATTTGTCGCACTTGAAAAAATTAAACAAAAAATAATGAGAACGAATAAATGCACATACTTACCCAGCAAATGGAGACAACGGGGACGCTTTGTACATCCAAGAAGTTACTTTTTTTCTTTTTCTTTTTTTTCTCACGCGCGGAGGTGTCAACTGTGTGCATAGTTACACATATCCGCGCAAGTACTGCCAGAATAGCGCGAGCAAACTTATGTTCCAAAGAGTGATCATTATGACACGTAAAAAAAAACGAACAAAAGGGGATTCTTAAACGAACACATAATATGTCATTTGGTATGCTTAATCATCCCCTTTATTCCTGTGTAAATGGTTTTCCCTTTAAAGGTAACTTCGCCGTTCCTCTACATGTTGTCTGCTCATTCTCGTATTCACGTAATGTTCGTAGTTTCCACCTTTACAGGGGAAGTACAAGTCATTTTTTTTTTTTTGCTACGCACGCGCCCTGAGTAATTCATGGGATGAGAGATATACATGAATAGATAATAAGTATATATTTGTGCACATGTGCCTCAAACTGACCTTCCGTGTTCCCTTCGCCCGAGCTCTATAATTTCCTCCATGGGAATGTTGTCTCCAACCAGACTTGCACCTCGTCGCTGCGGTCGACTTTGTTCTGACCTTCATTCCTTCCCCCAGTTCGATTAATGCAACAGTGATGAATTCTCTCCGTAATCATTCCTTCGTGCGCGCCTTCAGAAAAAGGCAGGCATATTACGCATACCCCTTTTGGGAACAATTACAGGTAGGAAAATAACTTGTCCCGTTGGACTAATAAGTATGAGACATTTTTTGTTTCCTTCTCCACAGCTCGAAATAATCTCTCTCATAAAAAAATTACGATCATAGGCTTTTGCTCTTATTAAGTTGGGTGCTCTCTTTTGGTACATGGATAGGGGGGATTCCCGCTTCTTCCGTCGTCTCCCTTTCGTTACTTCGCTTGGAAAGTTCCTTCTCCTCTTCATTGGGCTCGGCATTGCACTGGTTCCGCAGGGCACAGTTTTGTTCTTCCACCGTTGATTCCATCGCTACTTCCACGTCCTCTTCCACCGCTGCTCCAATCGCTTGTCCCATCTCTCCTTCCGCGTTCTCCTCCTTCTTGTGCGTATCTCCATCTTGTGCCCCCCCGATGGCGCCTTTCCCCCTGTCGCCCGTCCCCTCTATCAAATACCCCATTCTCGCTTTGCCCTTTTGCACGAAATAAGTTTCCAGCGTTTTATACACACCTCCCGTTGATGCAAATCGCTTATTATTCAGTAAAAGCTCCATTAGGGAGCCCATTAAATAGGCGAAATTCTCGTCCCTCTTTTTAAGCAGCATCTCCAAGTTGTCTTCTGCGTATTGGAGCAAGGAGTGCATTTTGTTATGCAAATTATCTTGATCAAATTTTGTGTCGTATCTACTATTATCTACGCATATTTCGTGAAAAATGGCTTCAATGGAGACCACATCCGAAGTGCCTTCGATAGCTGTTCTCTTTACAACATTAATTAAAATGGAAAGGAAGTTATTTAACTCCGTCATGCTAGGGTTCACATGAAAATTTAGCTTTTCCAGAAACTCCTTTTCATATCTTAAATTAGTCAAATGCACAAATTGGAACAATTTGTTGTCATTTATAAATGCCCTAAACAAGCCACTGTTAGCGTTATAAAGCTGAGCGATTTGTACATGTCCCCTAAACTTCAATCGCACTTCTTTCATCCCTCCAAAAATGTTAATGAGGAATTCTCCATAGCGATTCTCCAAACCGTCCACCTCATTTGAGTCACACACGTTATGGATGTTGCCTGAATATTTTTTCCTCCTAACTTTTGCTTGATGGTTTTTTTCTTCCACCATGTCTTCATACTCCTTGTACATAAAAAGCACAATGTAGTGAAATAGATCCACATCACTGCAATCTCGTATCACTTGTAACAAGAAATTAGCGATGATATCATACCCGTACCAGCATTCGATGTTGATGTGTTTCCAGTACTTTACGCTAACGTTGGAGTGGTGCAGGAAAGTGTACTTCATTGGTGTGCTCGTTTCGTTGTTTCGCGTTGTGGAAAAATGGTTCCCTTTTGTACTTCTCTTCAGGGGTGAGGCCTCCGAAAGGACATCCACCTGATCAGCGCCACCTTGCGCAGGATGTCCTTCCTCTTTATTATTACCTTGACGCAAATCTGTAATTGTTGCCCCATTTTCGCCATTAGTAGTACCCCCCCCACAGGTATTCATATAACTTCCTCTACTGCCTCTACTGACGTGTGGTTCCTTGAGCATCACTCCTATGTTAGTCCCCCCCTCGCTGTTGCTACTACGCATACGTAGTTGCGACAGTACACGCGAGAACAACTGCAGATGATTCGTACACACCACAATGTATCTCCTATTTTTGTCTGCCAAATTGATGTATGTAGAACAGTTTAAAGAATAAAAAATGGGCATCGCTTTAAGATAAGAAATATTATTACTATTAAATTTGATGGTCGAAAGGAAAGCAAGCAGGAGAAAATCCATGTCCTCCCTGTTCAGTGCGGACCAGTTCAGATAGTCCCCATTTCGACATAAGGATATCATAACATCTTCATAGTCATTTATTAAGTACTGTGTAAAGATGGAACTCTCTGACATGGTGGGGTGCATTTTTTTGTAGCCCAATAAATATAACGTAGCCTCCATGGGGGTGTCTCCGAAGTTAAAGCTGAGAATGTTTTTTATATCGTTCCAGCTGTGCACATACATATACGCCTTCTCCGCGTTGTCCGTCTTCTCTACATTCTGTGATGACTCGTCAAATGTGATGAGAAGGCGGAAATTGTTCAGCGTGTGCAGGACACTCTTGTAAGGCTGCTCACTGCAAAGCTCACTTATCATGTCGAGGAGGAGTCTGCTATAAATGATGACGTTTGCGTCGTAGGCGATTTGTATGCAGTTATACAGGCGAGCGTTATTTGAGCGTTGGTACTCTTCTCCTCTGAGGTGGCATTGTGTATGCTGACGTGGATGGATTGCCTCCCCCTTCCCGCGGAAGCACACCAAAGCATCGCCCTGGTCGCTGTCAACTCCATCATCTGTGCCATCGTCTCCATCGAGTGGAGAGCAAGGGTGAAAAATGGAGGGGTACAAATTATGCCTCAGCACCTGGGACAAATTACTAAAACTCAGATTCGCTACAATTTGAGTCTCCAGGAGGAGAGACAAAATCGATGCGGAATAAAAATGGACGTTTATAAACGTGACGCTGTCTAAGTCAAAAAGATAAAAATATTTTGATGTGTAAATTTTTCTATTTTCTTCATATTTAATCAGATGAATGAAATCATAATTGAAAAATTCCTCCGTGTCGAAGTTGCTGTTCTTAATTTTGAGTAGGTTATCCGTGCATATTGGGACGACGCGATTTGTTTCCTCCTTCCAGGGATCATTCTGTTTAGGGAAGGAGAACCCAATGCTTTCGTCGCACTCCAACGTTTTAGCGTCTTCATTGTGATCATCTCCAATTATGTCAAGATTCCCATCGTGAGAATAGTGTCCGTCTATAACTCCCTCATCGCAGTTGGTCTTGAATATCTCCTCCTCATTACTCTCGCAGGAGATTCCTTCCCCTTGCCCGGTTAACCTTTCCTTTCCGGTAATGATGGGGGAACTCTGCACAGGGAATAGCCCCCCAGGGGGCACTCCGCCAGGAAACCTCCCCCCAGAGAAGACCCCCTCAGAAGGTAATAATCCCTCCAATTTCATCTTCAAATACGATGTGCCATAATTCAGGATGACCAAGAGAGGTATGCATTTTATGTCCTTCACCAATGTGTCATACAATTCATCATGCTTCTTAAAATCGGAGAAAAGGTAATCCAGAAAATAAATCACCGTGGAAAAGTTCTTCTCACTCAGACATTCCTTCACAAAATTGAGGTAAATGGAAATATATTTCTTGATTCTATTTCTTAGGTAACATGGTGTAAGGTTAAGAACCTGTTCTGCTATGTTCTCGTTATGAGTCCCCGTTTTTAGGGTATCTTGATCGTCTTTCTTTTCCTTCACGTATGCAGTAAGCTCCTCGACACCACATTCCCTAGTGAGGGGCTTTTTCTCCGAACCGATAAGTCCGCCGGCCTCCCTCATGGAGCTAACCATTTTGTGCATATGCACAATGTTGTCAATTTCGTAGTAAGGCAGCAGAACGGTGAGGCCCAAATCGAGGAGGAAGAAAGTGATCTGGTTCAAGTACTTGCAGAAGGGGTAGATATTGACGCAATCGTTCATCCTAGACCAGTAGAGGGCGTAAATTTTTTCCTTCTTCTTTAAGCAAGGCAAAATTTGAAGTTCTGGGCAATTTAAAAAAACATTCCTAACAACTGAAGAGAAGAAGTCATTCTTGTCATATTTTTTGGGAATAAAATTAAGATACTTGGTTTTAAAAATTTGATATATCTGGCTAAAATTTTTGATGTCCCTTTTGTCTACTTTGTATATGTAGTCTAGGGTTACGCTGTCGTTGCCCTCCTTAGGGGTGTTGCGCGCGTTTTCACCATTCGGATGGTCCGTCCGGCAGTCGCTTGTCATGCTGGCCATGCTGGTCATGTTGCTTACCTTCCCGCTGTGCATGGTTCGCATGGTGTGTACGCTGGTCATGCTAGTCATGCTGCTTACATCGGCGCTGCAAAGGCTTCCTATGCCGTTAACTGGGCTGACTGCGCTAACGGCACTAACGGCGCTAACTGTGCTAACCTGGCCCATTATACCCAGCCCGCTGCCCACGTGCCTCTCCGCCAACTTCCTTTTAACCCATTTCCCTTTACATTTGTACAGCACCTTATTCGGATCCTGCTTCAACAATTTCTTTACTGCATTCCTGTGGGCCAGCATCAAAAAATGTTGATACAAAATGGAGATGTTCCTTAGCACCCCCTGCAGGTTTTCCCCATTTTTCAGCTTTTTCAAATTGCAGCCATTATTGTCGAATAAGTTGCAACATATATGCATAGGTAAGTTATCTATATTTGAGACGATGTGGAAATTTTGGAACAGAAGATGTTTGCGGAAGATTTGGTAGTGTTCAAAACAAATGGCTATGCGGACGTCGTGCAACAACCCGATGATCCATCTGCTCGATTTACTTCCGTTGTATATTTGGCACTGAAGGAATATTTCCAAATTGTTGCAATTCGTTTCGTCTGAGGATAAATGTTGGCCTTTATTCTGCCCCCAATTGTGTAATTGCTTCTTCTTCACGGCGTTGTAAAATTCTTCCCGCAGATGCAAGTGATAGTCAGACATGCAGATCCCTAGGTTTGTGGCATTTTCAGCCCGCCCCCCTTTTTCATTTATTTTTATAATATCCAATTTTAGAAGATTTTTTGAGAAGAAGAAAAACTTTTCACTATATTTTTTGCACTCCAAGAAGACCCTTTCAATCATCTTTAATATGGACACCTTCTGTTTATTGTACAGGCGAATGCATATAATTTGGTCCTCCCCCGCGTCTGAATATCTTCTCTTCATTTCAGTTCGCTCTATGGGATCATGTTCCACGTCACTGATAGAAATTCCTCCTAGTGGGTATTCTCCGCTTCCAATTTCGGTTGTCTGTCGTACATAATATTTTTTCTCTCCTCGCAGGGGTACCTCCTTTCTGCTGCTTGCACTTGCAATTTTGGACTGCTTCCGAAGGTAGCCATTTTCCTCCCATTTGTTCTTCTCATCGAGTCGAAAGTAGTTGTGAAAGAATATATTTTTGGCTAGTTCTTCATCCTTTTTGCTGAGAATATGGTTTTTTTTGTATAGGACCCTTCTGTGGCTCTGAGATGGTGCATCTACATTTGGGGGCACGCGCTTGGTGCTTCGCCCAAGGTTGTCACGCTGATTGCTAGGGGAACTTGGTTGATCCCGACGATCGGGTGATTTTGTCCCATTCGGTAATTCCACTTCTGGTGAACTCCCCCTCGGTACTACCTTCACTGGGGTATTCCTCTCATCTGGGTTAGCCCAACTCTGCTCATGGCTGCACTCCTTATTGGTCCCCTCCTCGGTGCTCCTCCCGTTCGCCATCTCATTGCTTGGCCGTGAACACCACTCGGAGATGCAGCTCCCATTCCGAATTAGCAAATAATCCAGGACGCCGGAAAGGTTCTCAAAAAGGTAGGAGCAGATCAATTCGTTGCACGATTTTAATGACTCTAAGTTGTTCGTCTCTCCATTGAGGTATTCCTTGTTACGAACTACATTGTGAGCATCGGCATAGACATTTAGTTCGTCATTTCTCATTAGGAGATTTTCATACTGTTCCTTCTTGACCTTAATGTACAGACATAAGCAGGTCCTTTTGAGAAACACCTTCGGAAGTGTATCCGAGGTGAAATTCCTCTTATCGGCAATCAATTTTATGTCCAAGCATCCTATGTCGTCTAGAAAGTAGATCAAGTTTTTTATTTCCCTAAATAGGATATTATCATTGAGTTCATTCCCCTTCTGGAGCTCTCTTTTTTTGGTTCCATTTTGTGGAAGTAACAATTTTGGCTCTCTCTTAACAGTGGGTGCTTTTTCTTTTCCTTTTTCTTTTTTTATTTCACTGGTCAGTTGTTCCTTTTTCTTATGTTCTATGAGGTAGGACGTCATTTTTTTTTTATTCGCCTCCTGGTTGTTTATACCAATTAGTGGATTTCTCCCCACTTGGATTCTTCTAGCCTTGCTAATGGTGCTTATCTGTAAGGTAGCCCTCCTCGTTTTGTTTTCCCCCAGTGGGAAACTTTTTATGGGCCCTTTTTTGATACTATTCTGTTCCCCTTGGTTGGAACCTCTTTTATGAATTTTCTGCGTTCCTCTATTCAGTTCGACACTTTCTTTTTTCCCCGTTTTAGGAACATTCAACAAATCAATGATGTTCTCCTTCACGTCCCTATGCACGACGTTACTTTTGTGTGAGCTGCTACTATACAATAGGGGGGTATTCACATAGGTTAAATTTTCCTTCCTCACCAGGAGGTATTTGCTATTTGGAAGGTAGAGGCCATCGAAGCAGGGACATTTCAACTGAGGCTTTGTTTTCTTATCCATTTGATTCATTTTTTCCAAAATTGGACCCTTTTCATTCTCCCCCGTCGGTAAGTTTTCCTCTTTTCCCTCTTTACACAGGGGTACCCAATCACAAACTGACACATCAATTAAGTTCAACGTGTTGATGTATGATATTTTTAGAAGTCCTGATAGGTACACCTTTAGTTCATTTTCTTCCTCAGCTTCATTTCTTTCCCCGTTCAGGTGAGGGTGTTTCTCATCTGGGGTAACCAATTTGTTCCTCAGTTTGGCGACAATTTTGTTCAGGATGCTAACCAGATTGGAATGCTTCAGCTTTCCCTGAACACAACTGAGTTCTACCAAATTGGGGTACTTCATTCTGTACAGTTTTGGGAGTTCACACAGGAAGAGGTTAAAAGGGATGGTATTCTTAATGGAGAACACTTCCTTCCCCCTCCATAGTTTGTTCTTTATGTAAATGAACTTATTTCTTTGGACAAAATCGACTAGCATGCAAAATTCACCTTGTAGGGAGGAGTCCCCCACCCCACCAGCTGCGTCACCCGCTGTGTCATCCGACGTGTCATTCGCTTTCACCCCCGCCGCCTCATTTCCGCAGACAACTAGTCTTCCCCTCGACTTCTGCTGAACAATGTACTTCTCCAAATAGTCATATATATCATCGTACACCTTAGACACCTTCTGAAAGCACGTATTTTTGGAAGTCTTACAGAACAATTCCAGGTGCCCCAGAACCTCAGCCAACGGAGGACTCTTCTCCAACTGGAGTAGCTTCCCCAATTCGGGAGATACAGTCAACTTCTCCAAATGGTAACATTTTCTCTTTAAAAAAATTAGGTTGAAATATTTCCTATCATACGCATCACATATTTTCACAAAGTCCTTGTCCTTCTGGTCGTTTCCGTGGCCGCTCCTGGTTCTTCCACAGGCGTCCGCGCTCTTATGTACGTCACGCGTTGCGGTGTCAGAGATATTTCTGTGCGGAGTGTTGTTAGTCTCGCTCAAGGGGCCAACAGTGATGGCACCATTGCTATGGGTGGCATTATTGGCATTGCGCGAGGCGACCCCGCTTTTTGGATGATCCCCATTGGGTGCCCCTCTAATGACGGTCTTTTTACTTAGCGCGATACAGGCTTCTGCCGAAGCATCCCCTCCGTCGGGGAAGGCATAACTAAAGTGCTTGCTCCTGTACAGTGGCAGGAAAAACCGCTCCCTACATCTTTGCTGCACTAGGGGGTCTTCCAAATGGTGCATATTTTTTTCTAACTGGAAGATTATTTTGTTCAGGACTTTTAATTTACTATCGAACAAATTTTTGCTATGATATAGTTTGTCCAAATCGAGAAAAATATCGTTTATGTCGTCATTCAGTTTGTACTGCTCTTCCAAGATGGTCAGACCTAACAACTTCATCCTTTCGATCCCCTCCTCCTTAACTTGCTTCACCAAATGGAAGTTTAACAGGTTTTCTCTCCCAATGCAATTTTTGTTTTTTGTCTCATCCGTGTCGCACATCACGTGGGTGTCTCCATGAGATTGATTTTCCCCCTGCGTAAGACTCCATTTTTCATCATTTTCGCCTGGTTTCATGTTAAGTGCTACGCCATTTTGATTACAAGCCTGATTGTCCATCCCGTAGAAATCTTTGTTGTCCAGGGGGTACACCAATTCGCTTAGCCTCTTACACACCTTTTCTTCATTTGGGAAACAAGGCGAACTTTTGAGACATGCAAATATGGAGTGTTCCCCCACCTCCAACAAATGGGACAAAATGGGAACCCAATTTTGGAACTGCACATAGACAGCATTTTGTATGACTACTTCGCAAAAGAATTTATTTGTCCTATTTTGATAAGTTTTTTTTACCACTTCATCATCTATGTTGTGCCTATCCGCTCGTCTGAATTTATCAGGGACATTTTCTATATACAGCAAATTTCGCTTACAAATTTTTGCAGCCAATACGTTTTTTTTTTCCTCACATAGGGTATTCAAATAACTGAACAAAGCGTTCTTCACCCGCTCGTCAAAAAAGAGTAAATTCTTCACATCGGAATGTTTTACAATGTCGGAGATGCAATTCTCAAAAATATCTTTCAAGTCGTACGGAATGAATACACATTCAGAGAATCCCATCCAATGATACCCATTGAAGAAAAGTTTTAATTTTTTCTCTTCTTCAAATAGTTGTCTGTACAGGGAGGAAAAAGTATCGGCCTCTAAAGTGTCTGGAAAATGGAACAAAAAATCATATGCACTGCAGGATAGGTTCAACTCACGGAGGAGTAGCAAAAATTCCATGTAAAGATCACATATGGCAGCTGCTCTCCACCCCTTTGTGATATCCACCATTTGGATTCTCCTTCTACTCTTCGATTTTATAAGCATTGGGACGACACCCTGCACGGTGTGTATGTAGCTCGGCCAATTAACACCTCCCCCCCTCTGAGACGCATCAATGGCGGTACACTTTTGTGATCTTCCTCCCATTTGGCCACTTACATGGATAAAGTATATTTCTTCCTCTTGGCTGCTACTTTTTATCGCATTCGCATGGAGAATATACTCTGTCATTTCGTCTTTGTGCTTACGACGCACAGTAACGTAGGGGATTCTATTAACTAAGTGTGATTCACCTTCCATATGCGAAATGGGGATACTGTTCTGGGTTCTCTCCCAGGTGCACACCGAATGATCATTCATCTGAACTTTAAACCTCTCTACCTTCAGCGACAGGAGGATAAATTCGGTTGTGATTTTTATTAACTGCTCGCAAATTTCGTGCATACACGCTTGCGAAGTTAAGGGAAATTTTAGGAGAGTCCCTGAGAAGGAGCTGAAACTTTCCATACCCAAGGCTTCCAAAATTTCTTTCAACTTAGAGTTGTTTCCATTGTCGTTATAAAAGGATGCATTCATCTTCTCCACTTCGACGTCCTCTTTTACGTCTTCATCACTAGGACGTCTGCATAGTATTAGCTTCTCCTCGGACATTTCTACAGTGTTGGCACACATTGATCGCTCATATATGTCCATCCCTAACGCGCTCCTTACCAATTTAGGGTCAAATACAACATCGTAAAAAATGAACATCTCGCCACACCTCGTTTGTTCTTCACGCACTGGGGAAGTGTGCGCACTTTTCTGTTCGCCGACATTTTTGTGTCCAAATATGCCTCCCTGAGGGTTATTGGTATCTCCCTCCCCTTCCCAATATTGGGTATTCAAAAAGGGAGTATGTCCTTCTCTACGTGGAGGAACTTTCTCATCATTGGGTACTCCTTCCCTTGCGACATTGTCATAGTAGTCAAAAATGAAAACATGAAAATGGCTAGCTCCCTCATTTGAGGCATCCACGTATTGTAAAACATTTATATATTCATTAATTTCTTTATTTTTTGCAAACACATTCGTCACGCTTCTGCATCCGTATACCTTTATATGGTTCATATTTCCCACTGTTCTGTTTTAGCTTATCTTTTCGGAAAAAGGGGGAAGAGGCGCCGATGTTGTATCGTCACGCTATTCGGGGGGTGCAGGTAGCTAGCCGATTGAGCAGCTAAATTGTACAACTTTGAAGGTGGAAAAAAAAAAAAAAAAAAAAAACAATTCAGCCGAACAGCCCAATCCGAATGTGCAACATAATTATGTCTCGAAAGGAAACTAAGACTGATGCGGTTGATGCGGTTCCCTGTGCGTGGTCATTGAATGACGCGCTTCCACTACCCATGTGCGCATAATTATGCGTTCACTTGTGAGTACATACATATATGGCATCCACGAGAGTGTGGAAAATGGGAACATCCCTTTTGCTAAGCCAAGAAAAGCACTGTTCTTGTCACTTTTTTTTTTTTTACATTTTTGCGTATTACGCGAATGGGGTGGAGAAACAGTACCATAGCGCGCGCGTGTATATATGAACACACAAATGTGTGTATACATAATATATATTTCTCAGAAAACACCGATCATACAACACAATTTGCAACATTTGAGCTAAGGAAAATGGCGGCATTTTGTGTCCAGAGGACCACTCTCGCAATTGCAAAGATGTCTTCTTCAATGGCAAATGAGAGGGATAAACAAACTTTCAACATTTCTGTTGTGCGTATTTTTCCCCTTTACATTTTCGCCGCTAGAACATTTTAGCACTGTTCCGTATTTTTTTTTTTTCCTTTTTTTTTTTGCACTTCGTTTTTGTAAAAAATCATGCTTGTGTAGTGTATAACGATTTTTTTTTTTTTTTGCGCAATCGAGGTTTGAAAATTCTCATGCCTTTTTTACGTATTTGTTTGCATACCTGTGTGCATAAAAAGGGTGTTGCCATTCAACAGGGATAGCAACAATGAAGGGGACCACATTGAAGAGCGGAACATTGAAGGGAGAACATTGGCGCTATCCCTTTGGACCACTTTGTCCTAAGGAGGTGTCCCTGAACAAGCGAGTAAAAAGTTGCATGTGCAGGCTGGGCGAAGCTTTCTCCATTTTTTTTTCAAAAATTGGAATTTGCTGTATGCACAGGATGAAAGAGGGTAACTTTCAGAAGGGCCGTGCTTTTATTTTATTTGATTAAAACATTATTCGTCACGTGAAAATTGAGGGGAGCCATCAAAGTTCAAATAGGCATTTGTAGAGCCTTACACAACCCTTAAAAGTGGCCACCCTGCCGATGGTCCTATTGGATTTCCCATTCCCTTTCTCTCCGTTTAGTGTATGGCCTCTTAATGTGCGAACACCATTTTGGTCGTCCACAAATGGCAGATTTAATAACACCTTAAAGGGAATAAAAATTGGTAATGAGACATGGAACCTGTCACCACCCCATTTGGGCTGGGTATCAATCGGGGCCATACAAACGGTATATACCTTCGCATAGATCAAAAAAGACGAACGTTAGAGGGGAGAAGAAAAAAATCATTTCATAATTGAATAGGTTAGATGATAGTAAAAAAAAAAATTGTTTAATCTAACAAACACAAATTCATATTTTGTAACATTTAAAAAAAAATTCCTCTAATGTAAATTAATATTATGATTATAACTAAAAAAAAAAAATATTAAAAAAAAAAAATTAGTACATAATTATAAATATTAACTATCGAAACATTAAAGTAAATCATTAAATAAATGTACTGAAAGTATGCTTGTGAGGATTTAGAGAGGTGGAGAGAAAACAGCAGGTGTGCAAAGGAGAACATATGCACATGGGTAGAAGCTTATGAAATGTGAAAGTGAAGACGTAGTGCGCGAAAAGTAATATATGGTGTGTCATGTCTGTTGCGTTATCTGTGATGTCTGATGCGTTATGTATGATTGCTGATGCGTTATGTATGATTGCTGATGCGTTATTTGTCATGTCTGGCGCGTGACGTCTGATGGGCCGCGCCAGAAGCCTGAAGCGTAGTGCGAGGATGGAGACCCGACGAAGGAATAAAAAGGAGAATATATAGAAAAAATTCCTTTACACAAAACAAATCATATATATAACAAAAAAACAAAAAATAAAGAGTGGCAAAGGAAGGAGGTGAAAGAAATAAAATGAGGGGGATAAAATTC